AGATGTGATTTTGTTTTTAAACATAGCATGTGAGGTTGCAGGTAGAGACAATAGCAATTCCTGGAATTTCACCAGATGTACAGAAAAATCACCAAAGTTCTTCAGAAAAAATTAAATGTTGTTTGTTGGAAATTAACTCCCTATTCTCTTCTGGCATCTTTACTCCTCCAGTAGCTGGGCCACAAAGGATAGAGGATATACTTTTGTGAGCTAAGGGATCTCATTCCCTTGAGGCCTAGTATAGGCTGAAGGACTAAGGTTTTAGTGCAGACAAGGTTGTGTGTATGTGTGTGGTTTATCTCTAGTAATTATTGCTTTCTTCAGCACATGGATTTGTAACATCTTGGAAGCATAGTCTTGGTATTTGGCATTTACTACACCCTAGCAGTTTACACTGTGCATGTCCCTCATTTCTCTTTTATTCATTTATCAGTTTTGCTTGTTGGCTGAAGTAATCAGGTGAAATTGACATTCTAATAAGATTCCCCCACTATTAAATGGAGGGCATAGTAAATAGGTAAATGGGCTGAAGTTGCAACCTAAAACATTTCATGTTGCTGTTGATAAACCTTTTCTCTCACTTTTGTTGCCTCGACATTTGGCTTTAATTGAAAACAAAACTTTGGATGATCATGTCAAATGCAACTAACAGTACTTGTCAGCTGGAATCTGAACCCTTCTGTTTCCTGTTCCTTTCAGCATCCTTCTCCAACTAACTCATTATTTATCTCAGCAGGGACCACCAGAAATTTTATGCTAGCCTTGATCTGCTTTGTGATTGGGGCTGATATTCCTCTTGCAAAGACTTCATTTTTCAAGGACTTTTTAATGCCAATATATAAGGGAAGGTGGAACTCTTCCAAATCCTGAACAGTTCAGAAATGTTCACCTTCTGTGACTCTCACTAGAAGACTGAGAATTTATTTTTTCAAACAGCCTGATCCTCTGGTCCACATAATGTTGTATGAAACTACAGATTGTGTGATTGAAATGTACTTGCTGTCCTTCATCCTTAAAGCGCCAGTTAAAGCAACCTAGTAAGAAGTGAATTTCTAGACAGAGTAAACTATTATTAGAATGTTGAATTTGGTATTCTTGGTGTGATTTCTGATAGCACTTTCTTCGTGGAGGAGTAAATTCAGGTTGCTCATTTATGGATATGAGTCCTAATGCTATCTCTCAGATGTGTGCTTTGTTTTCATTCCAAAAACATTTTATTTTGATGACACAACTGACAGTGGAAGTGTTTTGCCTAATGGCACTGTGCTCAAAATGCATGTCTGAGCCTTATAGGCTCATTTCTATTCTTGGGTCATGGCTGGTACTTACTGATTGGGAAGATTGTCTTTTCATTTTCTGAGTTTGTCCTTTATAGTTCCAACCAGCCTGGCCCACCTGTATGCTTCTTGCTTACTGTCTTCCTATATAGATGATCTGAAGATGGATCTGTTTAGATTTCACAGCTCTGCAGGGAATAGGGGCTTCAGAATTATTTGAACAGACCCTTTTATGTTGCCTATTTTATGCAAGAGTTGATAGGCCTCTATGGAAAAAGTCACTCTGGAACTGGATGTTGCTGCTGCTGCTGGTGGTTGTTAAATAATTGTTTTAGACCCAAAGCACCCACTGCTTTTGGAGTGAAACATGGATCCTCGACCAAATAGCATTTTGTATAATTTGAGCCCTAATACAGTTGTGTGTGCTTAACTGTACTACTGTTCCCACTGAAATCAACAGCAGTACTAGCGGTAGTAAAGTTATTTAAGTGTGTACAGGATTACAGCTGTGAATGGAACTTGTACCCATCCACAGTTGAAACTCTTCAGGCACCTGGCTATTAAAATCTATTCCATCTTGTGCATGTTCATTCTGGCGTGTTTCAGATGCCTGGTGGTCAAATCAGGAACCAGTAAAACCTAGTTAGATGCCTCAATAGGAGATGTGCAGCTGGGTGCGCTTTGTTGTATGAAGATCCTTATGGACTTTCCAAGATCACCACTCTAGACAGCTTTAAATCTTGTTATATAATCTGTTGTCTGTTGCTGTACTTGGCATTTCACAAACAGACTTGGTCCCTGTCCTGTAGAGATTACAGTTGTGTTCAAACAGAATATTAATGGTGTGTGTGTGTGTGTGTGTGTGAGTGTCAGGAGTAGGTAGTGCACACGTTTGATCTTGCCCTTCTTTTCAGTCAGTTCTGTTTGTAGTTCTACAAACTACAGTTGTTACATGTGCTTCCATACAATGGTCGCCAGCCGTCTTTTGACATGTGACTAATTTGCAGTATAAACAACCTTGGAACACTTGTTGGAACACAAGATTGTGTAGATGTTTATGGATGACATTTCCCCTTGACTAAATGGCTTAGATGCTGCAGTTGCACTTAGGTGCTTTTGCAAATTCTACCCAATAGGCACCCAGTGATGAGGATAACTTGAATGTTGCTCCTTGTGTTTATTCAGCAAAGACCAAAGCACAATGTGGTGGTTGTTTCTTTTACAAGTGTCAATGAATATCACTGAATTGTTTCTTATGTAAGGCAGTATGTGTCTATGTGGGTCTGCCTCTCTCATATTTATGTACACCAGTGTTCCCGCTAAGCTGCACAGCAGCACAGCTTCACAGGTGATTAATCAGCCCCACCCAGTCAGTCAGCTCCCTGCACGGAATCCTGAGCCTCTGAAACATGCTTAACTCAAAAAAAAGTTTTGTTTTTCTTCATTGAAATCAGTGGTTCTCAAACTATGGCATTGGTCCACGGCTACCTCCCAGGTGATCCACAGCTCAAGCTCAGCCCCCCCTTCTCTCTACCCCTGCAGCAGAGAACCCACACTGGTGCTCCAGCCTTGTCCCCCCTGTGTGGTTGGAGTGCCAGCGCTGGCTTCCCATAGGGGTGGAAGGGAGAGCCCCGTCTCACAGGAAAGAAGCATTCCCCCTCCCTCACTGCCCCTCTCCTGGCTTGGAGAACAGCAGCATGCAGAATCTGGCCAATGGGAGCAGTGGGAGGAGGTGCCTGGGACTGGCACAGGGCGCATAGGCAAGTAAGTACCCCTCACGCACTTCCCTCTGTCAAGTCCTCCACACCCCCAACCTACTTCTGTACCCTCTCTTGCTCATGCACCTTCCCCACTCTCCAGGCACTAACCTCCAGCCTGCTCCTGCACCCTCTCCACTGGCCAGACACCTGCCCCCAGCTTGTTTCTGCCACCTCCCTCCTAGCCACACACCCTATCCTCAGCTTGCTCCTGTACCCTCCCATCTGGCCAGACAGCCCACTCCTGCACCCACCCTCTTGGCTTCCCATAGGCCACTTTATCTCTTCTGGAGTTCCAGGGTAAGTGGTTTTGTGCCCCTCCCTCCAGGCTCTGGGCTTGGAACAAAAATGAAGGGTTTACTGCTCCTTCCCTTGCTCTTGCCCCCTTCCCTGGCCAGACGCCCTACTCCCAGCCTGCTCCTTCACCCCATCTCCCATCCAGACCTTGCACCCTCACCCCCTCCTGCCCCTAGCCCAAAAAAGGTTCCCCACTCCTGCCATAAATAAAGAAAACATAGGAACTTTTGGTGTTGGACATGAATTAATATTTTACTTTATTTAAAATGAAGTTTGATAAACGAACATGAGAAAGTTAAAGTGCTTAATCTGTTTAATAGTCTAAACTAATATTTCCTTTTTTACTAGTTAAATTAAACTGTTCTCCCTAGATTCAGCACTAGCAAAATGGCTCGGGCATAATTATGTAATTAATGGCAAGTTTCCATTAGCAACTGGTGGTCCACAGAAAGGCTTGCCTTGAGCTAGGAGGGCCATGGGCCAATAAGTTTGAGAGCGACTGATTTAATTATCGTTCTGGGGCACAGCTAGGGATGAGGGGTTCTTTATGCTGGCTGCCCTCAGGAGAGTGGACAACCCCAGCCCTCTCCCACTGCATCAGCTTGGAGTCAGGTGAGATGCCTCTGTCCATGGCCACTGCAGCTGGAGCAGGCACAGCTATGGGGGTGGGTGCTTGTCCCCTAGCTGGGGAACAGACAGACATAAGGACACACAGACAGACAAACTCTCTGAAATATATAGTAGATAGCTATTCCTTTTCCTACCTCTGCCTGTTGTGGCCTAGTTGGTTTAGAGCTGTCCTGGGCACCATCTCTGCCCCCTTGCTGCCTTCCTGTGGTCATTCTATAGTATAACTCTCCCCTACCAGATCCCTCACTTTCCTTTCTATGGAAAATAATCCAATTGTAGGCATACCCCATTGTCCTGGTACAACCAAACCCTTACCTAAATTATGATAAGAAGAAGTTGTATACCAAATTTGGTGGTCCTAGCTCTTACTGTTTAGGAGGTGTTCTTGAACAAATGGTCTCACAGATGGACAGACAGGCTCATAAAATTTGTCAATAGATACAGTGGTTTTGGGAGCAGACTTGACTGAAGAGAGGATCTGTGCTGGTGCCCTATCTCAGGAAGGGCCAGGTGGAGCACTTCAAGATATTTGTATGGAAGGGACCTCATGGTGGTTTAGCTGCTGATGAATTATATATAGGATTTAACCTGTTACCTCAGCAACTTCTGTGCAAAATGGGGGGGAGGGATAGCTCAGTGGTTTGAGCATTGGCCTGCTAAACCAGGGTTGTGAGCTCAATCCCTGTGAGGCCATTTAGGGATTTGGGGCAAAATTTGTCAGGGATGGGACTTGGTCCTGCTGTGAAGGCAGGGGACTGGACTCAGTGACCTTCAAGGTCCCTTCCAGTTCTAGAAGATCAGCAATTTTCATTTAAAATATATATATATATATATATATTGCCTAGGGAATAGGTACTTTCCATGCATGTCTAATGGATGAAATTAAAAGAATACCCCAGTACATTTCAAATTAAATGCTACCAGTGATACCCAGAGAGGGAAAATACCTTTGATACAAAGAATTGAAAAGGGATGCTGGGGGAAGAGTTTGATCCTGGCTGTATTAATAAAAGTTTCTTTTTTGTATGACTTCTTCCAGCTTGACCTTACCAAACCAATCGAAGATCAGGGCCCACTGGACGTGATCTTACATAAGCTGACAGATGTCATCCTCGAAGCAGACCAAAATGACAGCCAGTCATTGGAGTTGGTTTACAGGTTCCAGGTGAGTGTCATTTTTCCCAAACCTTGTACACTTAAGGTGGAGACCAAAGCAGAGCAGGAGACTCTGTTTTTAGTGTTGCCAATTTAAGCCTTTTCTGTGGAGAAGGGATACTAGACTAAAGCAGCTCTTTGTGTGTGGTGGCTGAACTACTGAGAGCTCTGGGAATAATGGCTTTATTGATTGGGACTAGATGCCATAGCTCTGGGTAGATTTTACATTGTGGAGTTAATCAATGCAATGCCCAATTCACCCCTAGCATTGTTCTTTCATCATCCTAGAAACATTGCTACAACCCCCAAAGAGAAGCATGTGTCTATAGGGATTTCCCAGATCCCTGAAGGCAGCCTTAGGCCCCAGACACACAACTTAACAATTCATCATGTGTCAGATTTTTCCCACTTCCAAGGAGTGCATAGAAATCTTCATCTGACTTGTCCTCAACCTATCCGTATTCAGGAAACCCTGGTGTTCTATATTCCTCTAGATTTAGGATTCACATAATGATCACAGAACTTCTGAAAAATTTTTCTTGTAGTGTTCTGTCTCCTGTTGAGGGGACACTTTAATTTATTTCTCTTTTGGAAGTTTACAATATCGGTCAGATATGCAGCAAAGTCACACAGACAACTTAACGATGAAAATTAACATCCAGAGAGCAGGTTTTTCCAAAGAGCTCCTCCCTTCAGTAATGTAAATACTGATGAGTTCATAGCTTTAAAAGGAATTGTTTCTAGCTGGTGACTTTGAGCAGTGAAACATATGTCTCTTTCAAAAAGATATGCAACATTCAACCTATAAATTGTTGTGTATGCTGTTGACATCAGCTTTAAAACCACAAACCACACAACTTTGGCTGCTTTTCTTAATGATTTACAGACTATTTCTGCTTCTCCTGGGTCCTTGGTCAAATTCTTACATTAAATAACAAGTTTGATTTGCAGAAATAGGCCCCTCCAGTTCTGATTCATTGAGGAGAAGATAAATATATATATATCAGAATAAGGGGAATGTCCATTACCTGTAGCACTTCAGATTTGTGGGATTTACTGAGAAGACGTTTGGAGATGGGGGAATATTTCAAATGCCTCTCCCTGGTACCTATACAGTACTGGAATTTCTCAAACATCAACTAATTCATTAATCTTCAAAACACCTATCCGAGGGAAATATTATCCCCATTCTGCAGACAGGGAAACTGAGACCTAGACAGCTTGAGATGTGCCCAATGCCACTCACTGAGTTAGTCAGAGCTGCGATCTGAAGTCACAAAGTCCCATGCTTATTCCTATATGTCATGTGGCCTTTCAATACACTAACTATTACATGTTGT